TTAACACTCAGAAAAAAGAAGAAGAAATTTCATGAAATAAACTTAACAACAAATGGGCTAGATTTTGACACAGGGTTTCTCTACTAAACCAGGGCCACAGGACGGAGGAGCTGTGAGAGCTCATATTCTACTTCATTGTACTCAATAAATAATGTAGAAAGAAACTATATATGAAGTAGACCTGGGGCTTTTGGGGGCCCCAGCCAGTTGTGCACTTTGCCCAGTGTACAAGGCAGCCTTGTTAAATAGAAGAGCTCAGGTAAAGCTAAACTAGTTCATCAGAGCTGGGGGCCTCATCTGTTGCTTTGCCCCCCTCACCCCTCCCCTCCCCTCCCTCCCTCCCGGCAGTTTTCCAACGGACCAACTGACGACGCTGGATGGAGGTTGAGAGGGGACTGCCTCGGAGCACCGGGGGAGAGGAGGGGGGGAAAAAAAACTTTTTCTCCTTTGTGTTTTTTAAATGCCGTTTAGGAGAGGAGAGGAGGGGAGGTGTGTGAGGGAGGATCGTTAAGATTTTCCAGAGACTTGTTGGAGTAGTTTGGTGTGGAGTCACCGACGGGAAGAACTCCAACAGTTAGTTTAGCTCCAGAGTCAGACTGGCTGTCTGAGGAAGACTGGGGGACTAACTAAACTAACCTTCCTCTCAGGTCAGAGATATAGTTTCACGCTTCAAAAACAGATTTGCATGAGGCGCGGAGAAGAACAAAACGATGCCTTTTAATGTCGATATTGTGTAGTCCGTGATTTTGAAAAGAAGTTGGGAGAAAACCGGTTCTCCCTGGTACCCTACCGCCGCTTTTGTGTTTGTGAATGGTGGGGTGTTTTTCCTGTTTGACAGGGCCGATAGTCAAGGTTACAGCTGTCCAACACACAGGCTCCTCGGTAAGTTTTTAAAACCACTTTTACTTAAAAGGACACATTTATTTGTGTGTGTGTGTGTGTGTGTGTGTGTGTGTGTGTGTGTGTGTGTGTGTGTGTGTGTGTGTGTGTGTTGCAGATGTGTGTTGCCTCCTCTTTGTTTTAAAGCCTAACATTTGCTTGTATGTTTCTTATTCTGTGTCAGTGGACCTTTGAAACTCCGGTAAGTCCATGCAAACAATAGCTGCGTGTTCATAACCGATGTTGATTGATTATAGATGAGCAATTCCACCCCAGATGCTGCTGACTGATCAGAGCCAAACTCTACAGCTGGAAATGTTTGTAATAACACGTAGCTAGTCAGTCTGCCTCAATGGCTGCTCCCCTTCTAAAGCATTTTGCACTTGAGGGACATAATGTAACTTATCCGTCAGTTTTTGAGGACAAAGACATAATGATCCAAGATAATAAGGGCTTTATTGGTGTGCACTGAACCAGGCATTTAGTCCAAAATCTCCCAGCACTGTGCTTTAATCAGCACTGGCTAACAACTCCAGTTTTTCATTTAGTTATGGAGCAGTTGTGCTTGTGAAAGATGTCAAAAGAAAAAACAGAATAGTAATATGGATTTGAGATTTGTTTCCTTTATATCTAGTTATTTGATATTAAACTCCACAGGTTGTTTGACAGATTTGAACACTTAAACAAACTTTTTTATGTATATATTTACACATCCTCTCTATGCAAACCATACAGAAACATCCTTCATCTTGTCAGGCAAACATTTGATGCCCCTTTATGGCCCACATAGCGTGCAAAAAGCCCTGGCCCTGTGGTAATGCTGTGTGATCCAGGGTGGGAGTGCCTCTTGGTTTTTCGGGCAGTGTGATGACAGCCTACAGGTCCTGTCTTTACTGGGGAGAGCAGTCTGTAGTTACAGCTTCTCAGTGCACCCCCCCTAACTACTTGACCCACTCTGTCTGCCTGCACCAGATGGTTTTGCCTCTTTGAAATGACGAAGAGGAAACCCTTCCCTGCCTTGGGAAAAGAGAGAAGACAGGACAGGAGGCATGAAGAGCAGGGGATGATAAAAGTTAGACTGCACATGTTGTTTTGTATGGTAGCTTTTAATTAGCACGGAGGCAAGGGTCTAGTTTTTATATTGTCTTCGTCTGTAGAGTATGCCAACACCATGCTGACTTCTCTAAACTTTAACAATTAAACACGCAATACGACTTTTAAGAAAACTTAAAGCGCTAAACACTAAACTTTATTGAAAATAACTTTAGAAGCTTTCAGGAGAGTGTCACTGGGGGGACAGCAAGAGCAGCTGACCCGCACAGCAAAGCAGGAATTCCCGTTTTATGAGGAAAAGGCTTTAATTTGAAGTTTGGGTAATTGCTGTGTTTGAATCTGCTTTCTTTTGTAAACACACACTGTCTTTTTTTTCCCCCTTAAAACAACAGGGCCAAAGGCTAAGGTTTATTCTTTTGATTAAGGTATTGACTGGCTGGCCGGCCTTCTCTCCATCTACTGTTCCAAACTTCATTGAGATGGTGGCATTGGTAAACCCTTAATTTTGTTGTATGAAGTAAAAAATAGAATACACAATTCTTTCGTTTTAGTTTACATCATAAAAGAAATCTCTTTGACTACAGCTTACTTAAATACCATATTAGAAAGCTGGGGAATTTCTAGTTTCTCTTTCAGCTGTTGTTTTAGCTGACAAAGATGAACCTCATTGCTTTCTGTGGTTACTGTACGTTAAATTCAGTAGTATTATACGGCGTACATTCTTGAGAAATCAGTAGGAAACAATGAGAGAATTATGCACAGTATTCGTCAACTTCTTCACTGTCGTTAGTTGTATGTCATACAGAGTTTATTTAAGATGGAAGCAATCACAAATGCAAATTCAGTTTCACAATGACGCTGTCGATGAGTTTATCTCAGAAGTCTTCAGTATGCTTTGGGTAGCGCTCCAGATCTGTCTGGCCACGTGCTCAGGCCTCCTGCATCTGTATCGTGGACAAATCGATGTACTGATGAGTGATGAGCTTGTCATCAGTAATAGAGGCAGTATTGAGGGAGAGCTGTACTGTAGAATCTGCACAAGACTCATTGCTGCGGTTAATCTATTAAGGAGACCGCTATGCTCTGTACCAGTGACTCTCTTTTAGGAAAGTGCATCATGGGTGTCAAGAAAGGCAAAACAGAAAGTACAATTTAAATAGTGACAGATATTTTATAACAAGTCAAGTCAATTTTTTATTACATAGCGCCAAATCACAACAGAAGTTATCTCAAGGCACTTTGCATATAGAGCAGGTCCAGACTGTACTCTTTATGACATTGATTACAGAAACCCAACAATTCCCACCAATTTTGGCGATGCAGAAGAAAATGTATCTGACTTTGTAAAAACTTTTTATATTTTCTTACTTGTGCCCTGCACAGTTAGGAAAGTAACACTCGGAAAGTAACACAGAGGTCATTTTGAGTTTAAATAATGTGTCAAGTTACGGTCCTGAATAGGGCTTTGATGAGGTAAAGGGTAAAGTACAACTCAATACATTAACCTACATTGTACATGTATACATTAACAGGTACCCTATCCCACTCGGGGTGTAGTTGCTGCTTCTTCTTAAATGATTATTGCAGAAACAGACACGAAGAACAACCTGAGTTTGTGTTGGATTCTGAGATGGAAGGATCTAGAGACTCCTGGGTGTAAGAGAAGCCCCATTGTCACATAGAAACCACATAAAGAACTGATACCAGTCATTTTGAAACATACATCCATAGGCTACATATAGCTCTTTAAACACTGGTTATAGTTGTGACATGACTGGGGTGTTGGGTTGGCTTGGAAAATGAAGGACATACATGATATTTTAGGCTCATGAGATCGCTGTAGGAGGTACAATTATTGCAGACTGGAATTTGACAAAGATGGTTAAATGGCTGCTTTAAATGATAGAGCTGCAGTGGAAGTGCTGTAGACATATATAGGCACTGCATGGAGGTCTGAACCACGACTGTGTTCTTACTCCCCTTGTGCCACTACAGCAAACCTATCTACAAATCACCACAATTCAGTCAGTGATTTATTTGATTGTACTGTGGCAGTTTGTGTAAGTAACCCGGTTTCTTTTATACCAGCTCCCTGTAAAGAAAACAAACTAAAACAAAAGATTGATAAGATCTAAACAAAGTTTTAATAAACATTGTTATAGTATTATCATACCCCAGTGAAATGGCTACAGCTTGTCTTCACGGGAAGGTCAGGACATGCCTCGACATGAAAGGGCGTTGGTGCCATGCTCAAGGACACTTCTGCACGATGGATGGGTACATTTAGGTTCTCCACACTAACCTGCTGTTCCTAAGCAGCTTACATTATCCCCAACAAAGTGCTATACTGTCACGCTTTCACTGACATATGGACATCAGACCCCACCACACTGCCTACTAAATGCTGCTCTCCACCACAAACCCTGATGGAGCGTTGTTGAACTGCCCCTCCTTACTGCACACACTGTACGCTCCTTCCTCTGCTGCTGGATCACAACTCCATGTTATTGCAGCATACAGTGCCAACTGGGTGGATGGATATTAGTCCATGTATGGATTTTACTATGTAAATGACCATGTCTAGTTCTGACATACAGTATAGACGCATGCACCATTGACATGTGACTCTCTTCAAAAGGCTCCTTATTGTGTTTCTGGTCTTTTTTCATGCTTCTCTATAAGTAGCTCTGCAGTCTTAAGTTGAAAGGCCTCTATTGTTTAGACTAAAGTCAGGCAAGCATGAGATTGAGAGATTATGAGGGAAAAGAAGTGAGATAGTACTAATAAAACGTTGCCACAAGTGACCATTATTGGGGTCCAGACAGAGCCACAGGGCAAATGACTGGTACTGAGAATATGTATACATTTGACTAGTCCTTTTTGAATGATCTCCAATTAGAGATAAGAGACTTTAAGAGTTTAAGAGCTACAGCTACCAGTGAGATTGTAGCTGAACAGACTGATTGTCACTTGAACAGCTGCGATTTCTACTCCACATAAAAGCTACAAAATGTTGCAAAATAATATGAATTTTCACAACTCTGAGTAATAGCCAAGATCTGGGAACTCCAACTGTGCTGCGTGCAAAATTAAATGAAGTGGCTCATCTTTAGAAGGGATTTCGGTTCAAGAAAGATCCATTGCACAATGTACACATTTTTGTGACATGTCTTGTCAGAGAGTAACATTAAATTATGTGTAGGTAAATGCCTGATTTAGAAGTCTAGTAACTGCTTTGGGTTAAGCAGCTGATAACCAGGAAAAGAAACCCTGGCAAGACAGCTGACAGAAGAGAATAGACCTTAAGGGATTGTGGCATTTTAGAGAAATGCAGGGGAAAAAAAGTCCCATGAGTTGAGTAGAAAGAGCAGTGAGGACACATTGGGATCCATTCACTTAAGCCACATTCAAAGCTTGTTGAATGCAAATGTATTCCATAGTCGCCACAATATAGTCAACTTTGTACAAGCACAACAAGGCTTTTAAAAAAACAGTTGATTTGCATAGGCCACACACTCTGGTAAGGTTTTGAATCAATGAGTTGGGTCGAGGGAACTGATATCCACTGTAGTGACTTAGTTTTAATGCTGTATTTATTGTGTGTGTATTAAGTTTTTCTTTAGTGTACTTAAAATTTGCAGCAATGAGGAAGTGTGAGCGTGAAAGGGTTAATCTGGATTAAAAAATAAAAGGTCTTTAAAGGGTTTACAGCTCTCAGCCACTATTAATGAAAACAACAGGAATGTAAATGGTGTGGTACTCTTGTGACAGGAGACACATGGGGCATGTGGAGTTCAGGGCCTTGGGATTTATCAGATATTAATTTGTTGATGGTGAGTTCTTTGTAAACTTGATTTGTTGCTGCCTAAACCGTGTCTAAACTATTTATTAGTGAATCATTTTGGTTTGAATATGGCTGCATGGATCTCAGACCCAGAGTTTATGAATAA